TGAAGCATCAGTAAACTGACTCAGTTGGAATTGTAGAGAGCTTGAAAATATAACCCTTCAATTCTGTTTTCCAAACCACTGAACCCATGTGGTACACTGAATCCCACCAGGACTGCTGCAAGCCCAGAGGGCACCTTTGTGCAAACTAGATCAAGGCATGCCTTCCTATGGGCTGATGTACTCTGAGTGGGTGCACATGGACTACAGAGTGAGAGCAAGCTGGGCTTCAGACCCACTTGCTCCCACGACTGGGCCCCAGTGTGACAAAGATGACCTAGCATTAATCATGTTACAAAGTTCCTTTTAATTTTCTTGGGCTATTCTCGAAGCTCCTGAGCTGAGATCTGGTTTGAGACTTTCGTTGGGCGTATCATGCAAGATAGAGGTCAAATATTCAGGAAAACCAAGTAACATTTTAGTGAAATTTAAAAATCAGAAGAAAATGTCAAAGATAGTACACAGATTTATGGAGATAGTACACAGTATTAAAAAGTTTTGGAGTTAGACAGAAATGAATTTTAATTGCACTTTGGCCAGTTACTAGACCACTTAACTGAAATTCTATTTAAAAAAATCCATAAAATAATGAAAATAACTTATTTCATAGAATCTAAAAATCAACTATAAAAACAATTCTCATTACAGAGGTTTTTAAAATGTGAAAATATGGCCAAATGGGATGGTTAAATGCATCCTGTGTTGAGTGTAAAAATTGTGTACCTTAGAATCTATGACATATGGCAACCCACTTTATAGGTCATGTCTCTTCCCCAGGAGGATTAAGTGAGATAACGTAGGTGAGGTTCTCAGCCCAGCTCCGAGTGGGTGCTCAGTAAATGGTGGAGGCTGCTATTACTGTTCTCGTCCTTGTTGTTTGAAGATGGCAACAAACAGTAACAAGTGATAGAGCTGACTGAGGCCACCATAATCTAGAAAAATGACCTGGATGTTGTCTGTTCCCTACTCTAGGAGAAGACACTAGAAGCCAACATGCAGCAGATAGGTCCAAAGGTAAACCTCGAGTGAAGATTATGTACAGAACATGCACAAAACTGAAAAACAGGAAAAAACAGTCCGATTTATTTTGCTGATGAAGACCCAGATCTGAGAAATGATTTTCCCCAATCTCAAATATACGAGAGAAACATTTTTTAAAGGATATTGTTTAAACGATGAGTTGGAGTCCTTCTTTGAATTTGAAGTAGAAGGAAGAAAACTTCCAGAATGGTTTGCTAGCTTTTCTCATGTTTGGTTTTTTTCCTTCGCCTCTTGCCTACAGCTCCTTCTATTACATTCCCTATGATATTTTAATTGATCACTGAGAGGCTCACTCGTGAAAACCCTTCTTTGCAGCCTCCTGTGACATTAGTTTTCATTTAGGCCTGGAGGGGTCTGTAGAGGATGAACAAATGCCAAGAGGTGTCAGTCAAACTCTTTCACCTGCCTCCAAGGCAGCTGGTTCCTGGACTGGTTGAGGACTGGGCCTTGCGCCAAAGAACAGCCATTCATTGCCCTTTCGCCAAAGACAATGCTGCCAGTGGTAGAACACGGATGTACAAAAACTAATGCCAGAATTCTAGTAAGTGAAAAAATGCCTGTTTTATGCCCCCGTCTCTAACGTGGTCTAAGTCTTTTCTCCTAGTTTGAGCTCAATGGCGTTTTTAGAAACATGACTGATGGAAGTAGGCAGCATATGAACCTATTCAAAACACAGTCCATGCGACAAAAAGCAGCCTGATGTTCCCGTGTGTGGAGCTGGTAAGTGCAATAAAATTGGCTCTCCTACAGAAACAAAGACCCTATTATTTTTCAGGGAGGTTCTAAATTGGTTATTTCTTCCATTTCTGGTATCAACTTGTTTCAACTTTATGATTGATGGAAACGTTGTAAAGAGAAGTACAAAAAGAAGTTTGTGGTAAGAATTTATCTACCTAGTTGGGTTGGGTTAGCTTCTTATAAAAAAAGGAAATAATATGGAAGTTTTGATGACTGATGACACCATGTAAAAATTATATATTATGTGGCAACTACTGAATTGACAGCATTTAGGGATTTTGAGAATGAAACTCAAAGGGCAGTTCTAGATCACAATCTCAGAAAAAAAAAAACAAAAAAAAAACAAATTACCTGAGGAGAGTGTGGCAACCTGAGCTTCAAATATGTGGGCTGGCTGATTGGTAGTTCACAAGTACAGCTTTCGTTTTCTCTCTGCAGGCCAATTACATGTGCACCCCTCAGCCTCCCAGTCCTGACTCAAGGTCCGGAGGCAGGATGTGGCACAGCTTGGGAGTGGAGACAAGTCACCATCCCGCACACATCATGGTATATCCGTGCCATCCTCCCGCCTCCTGACTCCTAGATTCATTAAAGGACTCCTTGGAAATCGCAAATTCTGCTTGATTTAATTTCTCCCAAGGAAAAATGCACTCAGTAATTTCAAAAATTTCCTGAAATCAGTTTCTTTCAAGGTTTCCTTGAAAATTTTAATTATGTGTATGAGTTCCAACTCTTATGTCCTTAATCTTAACCTGGTGTCTGAGGTGCTGCGATGGTGGCTACCCCTGTGGTTAAGCACCGTGAGATCCTTGTTCAGATGGGGCTGAGTCTCAATGATCTACACATCTGGGATCTATTGGATCAAGAACACATTCTGAAAGGTGTGTGGCCAGGCCATAGTTCTTAGTCTGCCCTTTGCATAAAGTGAAGAGTGACACTGGCTTTTTCAGCCCCTCTGAACTAGCTGCTTTCTCAGTAGCAGTGGAAGATTGAATCTCAGCACCTGAGTGAATGCTATTTGTTATTTTGGGGGGAAAACAAAAGTTTACTTGCCCAGGGCTTCTGCGGGCACATGTGGACACTTTATAATTATAAAACTCGCTTCCTCTACCCCTGGCTCGTGGGCAGGGCACAATCTGTGCAGCAGTAGGCAGCCTCCAACTTGCCCGATCTTGAGAATGTGGAAACCTGGGTCCACCAACACACATCATTGCACCAAAATCATGGAGAATTCATAATTATTTGTGCTTACAACCCATTGTACTCATAGTGAAAAATTAAGTATATTTGTACCGGCAATTGGCGCCCTCTATCATTGGCCTATTACATTAATGTTGGAACAGTTTTATTTTGCTTTTCAGAGTTAAGTATCTCTCAAGAGCAAAACTTTATATTATTTTGGGGGGAGCAGCAGTGTAAAAAAGGTCTTTCTTATCCCTTCAAGGATAAAAACAGATGATTGGGTCCCTTGAGGTCAGACAATGCTGAAAAATTGATCCTGGATCCACTGAAATCTGCTTCCTTTTTCCTTCCTGCCTCCCCTTCCTTTTAAGGGACCTAAATCAGGTAGGCCACCACTGCCCTGCTGTCTGGGACTGGGCTGCCCCTCAGTAAGGGGTCTGCTTTTCTGTCGGGCACTGTTGATGGCACTGTTGATGAAGTCCTGGCACTGCTGATAGAGCATCAGACTAGAATCAATTTCCTTATTGGTTTTGATTACTGACTCCTTTGAGAATTGAATAAGGTATGGATAATATCTGAAGAAAAATGCACACACTCCTAACCTCCATTAAAAAAATGTAATTCTATGGAGTTCCGCCTAAGAAAGGGTTTGGTAATCTTTTTTTTTTTTTTTTTTTTGGTGCCAAGATCTTCTGGAAGTCTGATGAAACCATGGACCTCTCTCAGAGTAATGATTTTAGGTGTATAATGTAAGACACATAGACTTCTAAGAGAAACCAATTACACTGAAATAGTTATCAAAAGTTAAAAACTTTTCGTGATAAATATTTATGTACTTTTATATAAATGCATTAAATAACAAGATCTAATGGTGGGTCTAATAACTACTATAATTTTGAAGCATTGTTGAGCATAAAAGATATTTTACAATGTCTGCCACACTGTGATGTGACATGAAAATGCCTGTGATTTCCACTGATGGAAGGTGCTGCCAGTGCTACTGGGGTCTGGTGCCTACATACATCATTGGAGGTAGTGCTAAATTTCAGTCAGAGGCTAGAGAAAATACAGGGACATTTTGCCCCCATCTTGTGCCCAGGGATTCTCAGCGTGGTTGCTGGGCCTGGCTCAGGGCCTGGCTGCTTCAGCCCTTTCTGCCTCAGGCTAAAGAGGGGACCTGGGACTTCTGTTTCCCAGACTAAGACTGCCTGGGGCTCTCATGGTTTTCGATATTCTGTAGGAAAAAGCCAAAGAGGACACTCACAGTATCTTCTCTCCTGTCCTCACTTGTGGGAGGAAGAAGAGGGGGGATGGAGGGACCCAGAGAGCCAGCCATGACCATGTAACTGCTGCCTTCCTGTGCATAGAAGTGAAAGCACAAGGGATCACTCTGGGAAGCTGCCCTGAGCCTGGGAGATGGGTCTCTGTTGCGTCTTCCTGCTGGGATGAAAGAAGCATTTTTCTCTCACTTTGAAAAAGATTCGAGGCACACATTTATTAAGTTTGCCTCTTGCATTAACCTCATCTTTCTAGGGGTGCTCACCTAAGTGGGGGAGCCCTGCTCAGCAGCCTGCACCCCGGGAAGGCACCAGGCTCATTTTTGCTTTTTACACTCCCACTGGCTCATGCATGGTGCTGCAAAGTGCACACCTGTGCTGAAAATGCTAAGTATAAGATTTTGGAGGTGTAAAAGTGTTTCCTAGCACTTGAAAATATAAAATGATACCACTGTAATTGTGCGGTTATGAATTGTTGAGCTATTGTTGAAAAACACCAGGGAAAAGCAAAACTTTCTCATTGGGATACTAGAGCTCAGGCCTGCAAGAGGATGAAAAGTTCGAGTTCTAGACAAAAGATAGTGCTTTTCCTGATGAGTGGTGGGAGGAATGACAAACTTCCAAGGAAAGGCTCTTTTGAAGCAGCTTTCTTGGCAGAGGCTCCTCTAACACTAAGCTTCATGACTATTTGGAGGCACATCATGACCTGATTTTCACCAGGAAAATGGTCTTGTGAAAGAGGCTCACAGGATATCATCTGCTTACCAATTTTACTTCTTGCTTCATTTATACTTTCTCCCAGGGCCTTTGCTTCAGAAAACCTGGAGAAAAATAAAAAAGAAAGAAAGAAAGAAAGAAAAATTGTACTTTTTTTCTATTCATCCTATATCATATTTTTAAAATAATGGATTTCTAAGAGGTCTCTAAAATACTTTAAAACTTTATTAAAAGACTTAAAAGAAAATCTAAATATGTGAAGTATATTAGGCTTAAAATTAGAAGTCAAATTTGTATTAGTTACAGGTATTGTGAATTTTTACTCTCCTCAGCATGGAATTTTCATTCTCATATTCTCTAATTTATGATTTTTGATTTATACTGTTTTGTGATGCAGGGGTACCGGAATAAAGCATGGCTATAGAGTTTCTGTAGTGTGATCTATTAATCATTTTACTGAGGTCTTACAGCCAAAGAATACATATTTAAGTAGCATTTTTTTTTTTCTGATTATAAGGAAATACATCAGAGATTGGCAAACTATGGCTGGTTATTAGACAAATTCAGCCCGCTGCCTGTTTCTGTAAATACAATCATATTGGAACACAGCCACATGCTATTATTCATAGATTGTCTATGGCTGCTTCTGTGCTACAACAGCAGTTTAAGAAGATGTGACGGAGACTGTGTGGCCTACAAAGCTGAAAATATTTACTATCTGGCCCTTTATAGAAGAAGTTTGCTGACTCCTACTATATATGATTATTAAACCAGATATTAAAAATATTTTTTAATTCCCTAATAATCTCCTACCCAGAAATAAGCAACATTTTGATATACATATCCATCCAGTCTTTTTTCTAGCCAGTTCTTATAGGGTTGAGATCACACTATATATTTGATTTTGTGCACTGATTGTTTTTCCACTTAGCGTTATAACATAAGAACTTTCCTATATCATTAGAAACTCTTGTCTTTGATGACTAAATACTAGTTCGCCAGATGGTTGTGCTGATGTTTAGTTAATGATTTCTCTCATTAGAAACTCTTATCTTTGATGACTAAATACTAGTTCGCCAGATGGTTGTGCTGATGTTTAGTTAATGATTTCTCTATGTGAGGGCACTTCAGCAAATTTGTGGAAAAAATGGAATTGAAAGATAATAGGAATCTTTCCACAAACTTTTTGAAGACTCCTTGTATTTTCTGACATATTTATGAGACACCCACTATGAGCCCAACGTTGCGTTAGAGAAACAACATAGGATACAGTCTATATGAGAAACATGTAGTTTAGTTTCTCTACACATTTCCCTTACAAAATGTTTGTTTTCACTTCCTCTCCTTTTTCCATGAAATTAAAGAGGCAATTGAAAACCTATGGATCAAAGCACGTAATATACAGCTATAGTAAATCACTGTGCTGTCTTGGTTAACATTAGTCATGCATTAGAGTTTGACTAGAGAAGGGCCTGTCCATGCGTGGGGAGTAGTCAGGAAAGCTTCATGTACAAAGAGGGATTGACTTAGGTTTTTAGATGCATAGAAGTTTTTAGGAAGCTTTTTATTGTGGAAATTTCCAAATATACACAAAACAGAAGAGTCGAATGAAGGCTCACATACTCATTGTCTTCTATTAATTGTCCAATTTTATTTAAACTATCTTCCCTCTCCCCATCCTCTACCTACTCTCCAAATCTTGCTGTGTCCCAGCAAATCCCAGATACCACATTATTTCATCCATAAATACTTCAGTTGCATAGGATTTTGTTAAGGAAGCTGGGAGAGGCAGGCATTCCAGACAGGGGACCAACATAAGCAAAGGCCAGAGTGCCACGACTGCTCTGAGCTTGATGGAAAAGAAGTGTGAATTATGTCATTGCTATTTTCTGAATCTGTCTGTTTGGCCTGGGACTGCAGACAGGAAGTTTCCAGGCAAGGGGACTAGATTTTTCTCTCAATGTTAGGTTTCTTGGGACTCCACCCCTGGCTCCCTTGTTAAGGCTGTTCAGGTTCATCATAGATTACATATGTCCTCTCTTCAGCTAGGGCCTGTCACCCTAAGAGAGAAATGCAGTTCCATTTGATGCGAGTCAGACTTAATTCAGTTCAACAAATACTCACAGGACGTGTAGTCCACTGTACTAGGCTCCACGGGCTCACACTGGTTTTTGTTGCTGGGCAGGTGTAATCTGAGGTTCGGCCCAGGCCACTCAGGAGGTGAGGACTACCTTCCTACTCTAAGTTCTGCTAAGGGAGGGACCATGGCTGTCTGAGACTGTCTGACCACTGGTGTGTCCATCCTCAATACCTAGGATGTAATAGGATTTGGCAGTCATGCATTGCCCAGTGAATGACTCCTCTAATGGCCTGTTCCATAGAGTTCTGAAATCTTTAGATTCTGGGACAAGGAAAATATAAGAACAAGCCTGCAAAACTGCTGAAATTCATGTCAATACTGGAGGAAACCAGAGTACAGATAGAAAAGGGAAGACAATATAAGAGGCAATTTGCACTGTAGCACTGCCCGGAGAAGCCCTGATGGGCCTTGCAGTGTCCGGATGTGTGCAGGGAGCATGGCAGAGGGAGCTGCTTAGTGCTGTGGTCAACCCTCTCCAAAGAGCTGTCCTGCAACAGAGCTGGCAGAAACTGCAGGGGAAGCCACGAGCTGTTCCTGTCTCTCCTTTGCAGCCCAGCACAGAGCTATAAAGGGCTTTCCCACTGGAGAGGTGTGGTCTGAGGGCTGTGCCATCTTAATGAGACCATTTTCCTTGCACTCTGGAAGTTGTTACCACTCCAGGCCACCCCACCCACATGTGTTCCTGATCTCTGATTGTCAGGACAAACTCTGAAAAGCCTAACCCTGAGGGAGAAGAGGAAAAGGGAAAGTGTCAGGGGAGGTGGTAAGGATGAGAAGCAAAGGGGGAGGCTGGGAGAGAGGTGAGGATGAAGGTGACCCCCCGTGCTGCCATGTTCACCTGGCCCAGCCTGCATCTTCTTGCCTCTCCAGCCAGCCCAAGTCTCCCTTATCCCCCACTCCCTCCCCTTCCTCCTGTCCCAGACTGGGTTCTGCTCTCCTGGACCTTCTAAAAGAGGCACATCCCATTGATGAGATGATTCAGGGAGCCCACCTGTGTCTGAGGTTCTGAGGTGGCTGAACCTGTGCTGACCTGTCCTCAGGCCCATTGCAGCCCCAGACAACACCCTAAGCTGCCGCTCATTGCTGAGGAGGCGAGGCCTAGGTTGGCAGGGAGGCTGCTCCTTGATGAGAGGCAGGGAGAAGTCTCAGCCAGGACTGCTGTTAAGCCCCGAGGGTTTCTTGTCACTGGCGCCAAAGCATTTCTATCAGAGTGTCACTAGCTGCATGGCTCGTTTTGGGAAGTGCAGCGTAGCTGGGTGCAGTTACAGTGGACACCGGCAGACTGCTATGTGCACCCGCACAGAAAATCCACAGGCTGGGGCCAGGGCTGGGCTTGGCAGGGAGAAGAAAGGCAGAACTCTGACCATTCTTTCACAAACCTGGCTTCCCGTGACACCCAGCCCTCTCTAGGTGACAGCTCCCCCTGGGCGCCAGGCAGGCACCGTATGGGCCCTGGGGAAGCCCTGTGTCACTGGCTTCCATACCACCTGGCTGTCCTGCTTTTTCCCCTCTCTAACTGGCAGCTCCTTCTCAGTCTCCTGTGCAGACTCTTCTTCTGCAGCCTCTTCTGTGGATGTTGGCAATCCTCAGGATTTGGTCCTATCTCCTCTCCTCACTTTACCTACTTTCTCTAGGCATTCCATTCCCGCCAACATCTTCTTTGCTATCTCTACTGACACCTCCCAAATCTCCATCCCAGTCCTGCTTTCGTTTCTGACCCATGTATCCAGCTGCCTGTTTGATGCCCTGCAGATAACTAAAATTCACTGTAGTCTTCTTTGCTATCTCTACTGACACCTCCCAAATCTCCATCCCAGTCCTGCTTTAGTTTCTGACCCATGTATCCAGCTGCCTGTTTGATGCCCTGCAGATAACTAAAATTCACTGTAGCCAAAGAAGAGCTGATCACCTCCCCTGAAAACGTCCCCCATGCCTCCTGTTCCTCTGTCACTGCATGGCACCATTGCCCACCCATGGCTCATGCCGGTCACCTGCACACCATCCTTGCCCCTCTCTCCACTGGCCCTTCACTCGGTCTTGGAGTCCCAGCCACTCTGTCCTCAATAGCCATCACGGCATTCCACTTGGCTTCATTCCTATGCAGCTGCCTTCGAGCAGAACGTGGCCATCTCTCTCCCAGATTACTTCTACCACTGCTTGCTACCTGCCTTCAGATGAGTCTCCGTGTTTTCGCCTGAGCCATCCTTCTTAAATGCAAACCTGATCCTGTTACTCCCCTGCTTATAACTCCTTAAGGGCTCTCCAGTGACCTCAGGACAAAGTCCAAATTCTTTAACGTGGCAAAGTAGACTCTTCGTGCTTGGGCTCCTGCTGACTTCTCCAGCTGCTTCTGTAATACTCCCCCACCTTTTCTGGCTGGCCTGAATGGCCTTCAGTTCCATGAAATGGCACACTCTCTTGCTTGAAGCCTCTCTCTTCATCTGGCTAATTTCTACTTAACCCCTGAGTTTCCACTGTGATGTCTCTTACTCAGTGGCTCTCCAGGACCGTGTGAGTCTACCATGGGTGACGTGCCCAGTGCTCCACAGCACCCTGCACTTCTGTCATTGCCGGCAGATAGCATACTACATAGGAACTATTGTAAGCTCCACGAGGACAGTGACCATGTCTGTTTAATTCACTTTTATATCCCTGGAGCCTAGAACTGGGGCTGGCACCTAGTAAGTATTCCATAAATGTCGGTAGAATAAAAGAGAAGCACATGAGCAAACACGTGTGCAAAGGCAGTGTGTCAGTGAAGAGCACTGGACCGGGAGTCAGAAGACACGGGTCAAATGCCCGTTCCACCTCTCAGCTGGGTCTGAGTCCTCATTTCTAACATGAAGATGAGATGCCTCCCAGGACTGGATTGATGTGGAAAGTACACACATGCAAATGTGCTTTATGTGTGTGAATCATGACCTCTGCCCGGCAGTGTAGGAACCCCTGTGGGGATGTGATGAA